GAATGATGATGATGATGATGATGATGATGATGATGATGATGATGATGATGATGATGATGATGATGATGATGATGATGATGATATGATGATGATGATGATGAACGTGTCGCTTAGCAGAAGTCATGAAACAGATAACGATGAGTCTAAGTGTTGGTGCGGTCTGCCTTCCAGAATGGGGTCCTCGTGACCCCCTGTACTTGATTGGGACATTGCAAGAAATGGTGGCTTTCGTGTTGTCAATTTCTCCAGATTTTCTGGCTAAGGGCTTGGAGATGTGGGCTAGCGTCAGGTGCTTCCTCACCAAATCTTTCGTTTTCGATGCAGCAGCTTGAATACAATTGAATGAAATGTGTGGTTGAACGGCGGTGAAGTATGAGCGCCAACACTGATGTTGTATCTGATGATGCTGGCGTCGCACAACCACTTTTCATGCTAACGAGCCTCACTTAAGTTCATTCTTTCCAAAGGAAACCATGGGTGAATTGATGTTGCCGGCTCGCCTATTGCATTGCCTGGTTTCGGCGAATCAGTTGATTTCTTCCAAGTGACCTCCCAGACCACGGGTATCATCCCTCGTATTTGATGACTAGCGAAAGATGAGTGGTTACTCATAGGCTTATTGGGTTTCTAATTCGAATGCCGTCTGCGCACCGGCTGTCTATATAGCGTTGCTATAACGTGAAACCCAGAAAGACAGCGTATACTTTAGGCCCAGGGTGGTTAACTGACATGTCTCTATTCACGGATGTCAAGTTACAAACCTCAGATAACATCGCACTGGCGTGTAAACTTGCTAGCGTGGATGTGTTCCGGTTCACCTGGCGATCAGTCACAGAAAAAATTCTGGTGTAGAGCTAATCGGGTCCGATTTCATGGTCTGTCAAAACACTACCGAATAACCGCTTCGGTGATTTTAACTCGTTCATCTAATCAACGTTAATCCTAGTGGTAAATAAAACCAACAATTATACTCTGTCACATTGTGAGGAGTTTTCGGCTTTTTTCATTCTGTGCCGAATGCCCTCTGTTCGGCTCGGTACGGTATACCTAATCATAAATTTTCACTGGCGTTATCTTCAACAACAGTGCACCAGTGGTAAATGCGGATGCATACAACATCGTTGAAGAATGCCCTAGTAAAGAGTGGAATGTGGGGTAAAAAAGGCTGAGGCCTTATATATAAAGAAAAGGATGCAGATCACAACATTTGTGAATCCTATCGAAGTGGAACACCGTCGGATGGACTGACCCAACGGGCTTCTGCGAACCTCATTAAAGGTAGGACCAGCGTACAACGGCACACAGGCTCTAGCTGGGTTGTTCGGTTAGTTGTCATTTCTTTTAGGGTTTCTAATCCCTTGAAAGTGAATCGCATGTATCCCAACCAGGAAGGCGCGAATACATCACAGCACTGTATTTGACAGTAGATGCCCTCCTCTCTCATTGTCCACTCCCCACGGGCCTTTCACCAACAAAAGATCAGGGTACACAGCAGTGTTTCTTGTGGTGGGCGATGTTTTGCTATGCTTAGTACATGTCACAGTTGTTTTAGCTTGATAAGTACGTTTTCCTGCCATTCTGGATCCGATTCTCATCACTTACCTGCTTACGCACTGCATTGCGGACACGCGGCAACCAGCAGCGCCTGTCATATTGCAACGGCGTATCTGAATTTTTCGAATGTCGGAGCCGAGTTTCACACCCGTCCAATAAGACATTATTGCATTTGCCTTGTAAATACAGCCTTTTGACTGCAGTGGAATTCACCTCTGAAGCCATATATGAAACAACCTCACAAGTATTGCGCCTTGACAGTGCTTGCATTAATTTATTCTGTCACAGTACGGTCATGGTTTTGCAGATAAGTAAAGCGGTCATCAAACTCATTTTCCCGTCCCCGAAGCTTCGGGGGTGGGACACGAGGACTGAGTCTCCTGGAGCAACACTTTTACTCATTTTTACGCATTTTCTAGCAAGGGATTACATCTAAAATTCTATTCAAAGTAGTGCGAACCGATCGTTGTCAACTAACAAGACAGTGTCCGTGTAGTCCTGTTCTGCTGGTCCTTCTGTGGGTACAAGTTTGATGCCAAGATCCTCAATCTCTCAAAATATTTTTATACATTTATTGGAACGTGTAATTCTAACCTGTTGATAGTGTCGCTGACGCCCATATTTACCTCGTCTTGAAAGTATACTTTTGTGGCTTCTGCGGCATCAGTTAAGGGGGTAATACCTAAGCACCCTCGTAGTCCCACATCACAGGCTGTTCAGGGACGTGTGGAACACAGTGAACTTGGAACTAATCATCTCCCTTCGCTGGTTTACAACAACTGGCTGATCGGAACCGTCATTTATTGGAACGTGTAATTCTAACCTGTTGATAGTGTCGCTGACGCCCATATTTACCTCGTCTTGAAAGTATACTTTTGTGGCTTCTGCGGCATCAGTTAAGGGGGTAATACCTAAGCACCCTCGTAGTCCCACATCACAGGCTGTTCAGGGACGTGCGGAACACAGTGAACTTGGAACTAACCATCTCCCTTCGCTGGTTGTACAACTCCGGCTGATCGGAACCGTGAAAAGTGCCTCCGTATGTCAATCATTTCAGTCCCTTCAATTAAGTGCATGCCGCGCTTGGCTATAGGCAGTCCTGCTAGTGCCGCATTCATCTGCTATACAAGTTTCCAAGTAGTCAGTCGGACTCCACAGTGGACGTGAAGCGCAATCCCCAGACAGGACGTTGTCGACCCTCGATGGTGGTGACGGCACCCGGATCAGTCAGAATTTCTTTCACATATCTGCCAGGTCACAAGTCTGTTATCAACTCGATTTCTGCTTTACGTGTACTCGGACCGAGTCAAAGCACCCTAACTAGTGGGCGAAATTTGCCGGTGTATGGATACAAGTACACTTTTCTCACTGGTGTTCATCCGTACGGCTACTTTTACTATCCACTTTTGGTGTCCCGATTGACACGTGCTGATCGTATTGTTTGGTCATCTCGATTGTTTATCCGCTCTCTAGGCACCGCTTTTTGGAGTTCCGATATAGCCGTACGGAAGGTTCGTCTGCGCGTCCAGCATCAGTACTATTTCCGGGTTCACAGTTATGGGGGCGTTCATTTCCCGAGTCAGCTAACAGCAAATCAGCGACACCAAGCAAACCCTACCATCGGATCGTGGTTTACTTTTTACCGGATATTTGGTCATTAATGCCCTCTACGGGTGATTGGGCAAATGTCAAGAGGTCAATGGAGAACGCGCTTTCCCGCAAACTACATCAACTATTCCCAATGTCTCAGGTGGAAATCAATGCTCTTTCAGATGCCACTTCTACTGGTGCGTCCTCGGATGATGCAAAGAACACGTCAAATCCAACCACATGTCCTACTGGAGTGACGGCGACCACTTTGGGAGATACTACTACTACTTCTACCGCTGGGGACTCGCAGAACAATCCAACTGCGGCTCAAAAACTGGATCAATCAGGCGGCATGTTGGATACTAGTTCAAAGGAGATAGGTGACGAAGGACTCCAGTCCCCTACACGTGCAGTGGCAGGTGACAAGAACACTTCAAGTCAAGAGGTCAAGAACCGTCACCGTCATTTGTTTGCATGTTCCGCGAAATCCGTTGGTTTATTTGTGATTATACGCTTTTTGAAGCACTCACTGGATTACTAATCCTCAGCCCTTCCACACTATGCTTTAGGTGGAAGGTTATGCGTTTATCTTTTTGAACAGTGATGTGAGACGAACCGATCTACATCTTAGTTTTGACGTTATTTGACTCAAAGTTCAGGTCTGGTTAGATGTAATCTTGTGCACTCATACTGAAATGGAGGGTCGATGCCGGTGGGCTCACCGGCAAGATGTTGCTCTGGGTTGGGTAGTGTTCAAAGATGTCCGATTTCTGGTATAATCCTTTACAACTTTACCATAACCAAAGGTTTTTAAAACGCATATTGCCAGTGTATCATTGGTACAACGAGTTGGTTTTTCATACGAAACTCGGTTTCTAGTGCTATAAGAACATCAGCATAGTCGTGGTTCATTGTGTTAATTAACGAGACATTCATTTCCCGATGGCTCCTCTCCTACTGGTTGTTTGAATTCTTTTTTTACTGTTTTAGTGTGCTGCTTCAGAGAAATCGTCCATCAAGAGTCACGATGAAATTAATCTCTCTGCAATGAAAGTGGGTTAGAGACAACTTTCCATTCGCTAACTTGCTAGGTATCTGAGCTACGTGAACAGTTAAAAGTGCGAAATCTTCCTGCCGATGGTATCAAAGCTCAATTGCTCAGTCGCCTGAAGACGGCTGTGGAAAAAGAGGCCGAACAAGCAAGAAAGGAAGAAGAAGAACGTTAGTTATCTTTCACGTCTATCTTTTTGCGTGTTTTCTGCTGTCGTTTATCAGTCTGTGTTGCACGAGCGGTGCTTATGTACGGTTGGCTGTCCTGTCATTTTTAGCTAGCAAAGGACATGGTTCATTCTGAACTAATAATGATTACCATAACTGATGGTACACTTGAGAATAATGATTACCATAACTGATGGTACACTTGAGATCACCTTAACAGAATAGCACCTTTCCTGAGATCTGTACAGTTTAGGGCAATTACGAACAGGGTTCAGGGTGAATGTTTGGAGATGGAAATTACCTGGAGTGGCTAAGGCCGGCTTCGGGACCAGATGGCCCAGGTGGTTAGAGCGCAAATTTACTGACCGGAAGTTCCGTGGTTCCAACCCGACCTCTGTCACTCGACTTCCCCTGTCTAGGCCTGGGCGACCTGGCAGTATCCCTCGTGCTTTCTCCGGGTGGCATGTCAGCTAGGCACCGAAAGGGTGTTACAGCTGAACAATTATTATTATTTATTATTAAGGCCTTCTTCTTTCTCCACCGTGGAGCTTCATTTCAATGATTTGGCGTTGTGGGACAGTTGAGTACAAATGTCCTCATACTGATGGTACTGCAATGAGATACTATCAATCCATTTTGATGGCACTGGCTTGTGAAATTATGCCAGCCTAAATTTGCAGTACTCTGTCGGTCTCATCTGATCGAGAAACCTTCCCCCAGATCAACCAGCATTCCCGGAAGCTTGTAAGGAACCTTACGGTGCTTTTTCTGCACATCCAACACCAAAGAAAAGAAAGAAAGAAAGCCTTCAGCTGTAGCACCCTTTCGGTGCCTAGCTGCCATGCCACCCGAAGGAAGCACGAGGGCTGGGATACTGCCAGGTTGCCCAAGCCTAGACAGGGGAAGTCGAGTGGCGGAGGTCGGACTCGAACCACGGACCTTCCGGTCAGTAAATTCGCGCTCTAACCACTTGGGCCATCTCGCCTAACATCAACATCCAACACCAAGTATTGTCGAGATCAGTGTCCGTGATACACTGGCCTGGCAATGACAGACAACACTTTGGACGTCTGTCTGAGACAGGATTGCTCGGCTGCTCATACACTGCCCATGCGTGACAATCGGCTACCCGTGAAAGGAGGAAAGCTCATCGCCGCGAAGTTGTTTATTAGAAAACACCAATTAAAGTTACAGACTATGCAACAGGAAAGTCAAACTCTCATACGCACCTTGTTTTTAAAAAAACAAATATTCGACTTCTTCCCGAGCGAGTCTTTTTGAACTTACCTGGGTATTTGTTGACTTTCACGCAATTGTAAACGAATGCTGTAGAGCACTTCCGCAGATTCCGTACTAAATCCCACCTTTCATTAGATCAATTAGGAGTTACAGGAACGCCGCATGCCCCATCGTTAGTATCCACCGTTACACCCGAATTGCATGAATCGCGACCTTTTATCGGCTCCAGCGACGGACTCCGTGCACCAAATGGACTGACAATGAAGTCCTTAAAGCACCAAATAGTGGTCGTTATGAGGTTAGTTGAATTCTGTATCATTTGGTGAATCAGTTAACGAGCGAGACTCCTCAGTAATCTAATCGCGCAAACGTCATTCTGAACATATGAGACGGGCAATTTAAGATATATTTAGTAGTCCTGCCCACGCTTAATTCAGTGGATGTCGTCGGATATAAAGCTTACTTAAGTTGTCCAGCAGACATCACAAGGATTGCATCCCTCCTTCCCAACTCAAATAGGGGAGCAGCTCTGGAAACGCGTGGCTTAACTTGAACTGGATTTCATCTGGAACGAGAAAAATGTACCATCGTAGTGGGATGTCTCTACAGTAATTCTTCAATGCCACGGGGCCACCACAGTGTCCTGTACGTAGGGCTACACAACACGACATCCGTTGGTGCATATGACAACCAAACTTGTTTCCATCCTGGGTGAGGGTGCTCAGACCTCATCTCCGCCTTCAATACGTACTAGAACAGCTCCACTGCATTAAGCTATGAGCAATGGCTATCCTTTTTGATACAAGGCTGCTTCCGCCCCCGTAGTTTGTCCGACATTGTCACAGTGTCTAACCATGTCTCTAATAAATGTGGCCAAATGGCATGGATAGACCTTCATCGAAATTTGTCATGTTTCTTATCACAAAACACCGGTTTAATTTGGACAATGTCGTCGATGTGATGGAAAGATCCCTACGAGCCTTTGTCTGTGCGGTCGAGGTGCTCCCATGACGCTTGCTTATGCACATTAAGTACGGGGATGATGTAGCTGTTCTTGAACCGGCCCTGATGAAGCTAGACGCTACGACGATCCAGCCATGCATTGAGCATGCCGAGTCGTCTCTTCGAGGATGCTGTTTCCCATGCCTAATTCGTCCTGGTGCAAGCATAGAGATAGTCAGTCGTTGATCTGGTAGAAGGGCACGTTCGGGATCAGACACGCCCTCCAGGATGTAGGTCGCGTGTTTCTGTTTGCCTAGGACACTGCAAGATGTGGCTGCTAACCGATTTCCTTGTCGGTATCTACCCAGATCGTGTGAGTGTCAAAGTGTGGATACCTCGGAACCTTCCTGGTGGTCTCCCCTTGTATTTCCTTAAAATTAAGTATAGCTGTACGTCATCGGTTTTCAGCACTGATGTGTTGTCGATAACGATGAGGATAAAGATAACTTCAGCTTGAGATTATTTTAATGAGACTAGGATCCACAACCCTATAGTGCCTTCCATACCCTCATGCGAATCGGACTTTGGTCCTTGTGGGTAAATACTTTCATTGCTTAACTATCAGTGCTCCTGGATCAATTTTTTGCTTACGTTGGGAACCGAGAAGGCGATGCTCAGCCATGTCGAATGGTTGCCGGGAGGGGTAACTGGTGCGATATTTGAGCTGATCGTACTTCAAAGACTGCATCCTGTGGAATGCAAAAAACGTCGCTCAGATAAACATGCTACCCTATCAGTTAAGCCTGTCAAATTTTCATCGTTCGACAGCAGTGGGCATCGTGCGGTACACTAACGGTTTGGTCTACCAATGACCCAACAGTTTTACTTGTCGTTTTGTTCTTGGGTGCCTACTTGTTTGACAACCAAGCAAAAATAGCTCGAGTTGGCCCAGTGGCTAGGGTGCGAATTTACTGACCGGAAGGTCCCTGGTCCGTACCCTACCAGTGCATTCCGAATGCTCCTATCTAGACTGGAAGTATCTCGACTCTCGTGCTTATTTCAGGTGGCTTGGCAATTAGGCACCGAAATGGTGGTACAGGTGAACCACAAAAATGGCTAACGGCTCATGAACGTTTTCTGCAATGTCAGCGTAAGCCTACAGCTGTACTCATGCACCAATGCAGTACTTTGGCGCGTGCCTACTCACTGACAGCTCGAGTAAATAGCTTGGCATATCTAACCGTGCTTTTCCGTTATGCAACTGAAAGCTGTTGAAATTTCAGCAGGTGAACAAGTTTTGTGTCATATTAGATTAGTAAGCTCAGTAAAAGACCAGCCAGTGAATCATGCATTTACGAGATACACTCATTTGCAAACAGATTTTGGTTTTGCGAGGGTCTCACCTGGAACCCAGCTTTTGCTCTCGTTTGTGATGTTTCCAGGCAAATGAATTTGCTGCACTAGGCCGCCTCATGTTTCAGTCGCTACTATATTCGAGATATCCCGATACATGTATATTCTTAATGCACTACTCATAAGGTTATCGAAGAATTTTCAGCAACCTGAATGCATTTGCGAGATTTTTAGCAAGCGCTGATTAGTCACCACCATCATTGACAGAAGTACATTTGCATAATGGTTCTTAACTACTGAACAATCGGGAGTGAAGAAAGAAAAGAGTGGAGTAGTGTAAAGAAACCTTATATCCTTGAGAAAAACAATCAAGATTAAGGTACCTACATCCTTGGGGAGCACCAAACTGAACAGCTTTGAGTATCTTGTCGGAAAATGTTATTTGTTCCGTTGAGGAAAATGAAATAGAGTTTGAGATAGTTCGGGCTTTTGGGGCACAAACTATCAGCCAGAAGGTTCGTGGTTCGAACCCAACGCAACCCAGTTCGACTTCCCGCACATGGTCTTGAGCAACCTGGCAGTATCTCGCTTCTATTGGATAGTGTTGAAGCTAGTCACTGGTAGGGTATTAAAACTGGACGATCATTATTATTTATTATCACTTAGGAAACAACGTAGCCCAGATTAAATGAATGAAAAACGGAGAAACCAGTTGACAGCTACAAAACGCGAAAACCATGACAAGAAAATAGTAACGCGGAAGGCAGGTTTCTTGTAAGTTCTTTTAGACAGTGAAATCCTGGGCAGCATTTTTGAGGACCCCGTCTCCATGAGAATTTTATTGTGCGGTTCAGTGGATTATTGAGACAAAAAAGGCGCGGGCACATCATTGAGGACGAAATTTTCCTGGAAAACAGTTTCGTGGGATCCAGAAATGTAAGATTTGATACGCTTGCTTTTGATGAACTTGTGTATTTGGACAGTGTTATTCAACACCTACACAGTGCTTCTTGAGCAAATCTCCTCGCGAGATTAATTTCATTCATAAGGTTATTGGGAAGGATCGAATTGGTCACGCTTCAAGTGCATGTATAGAGCAATTTTAATGAATTTGTGGCAAAATAACTGACGTAACCATCGTGGGCGTTATACCACGTGATGTAAAGCGGACGAAATATTTTGTTCGTAAGGAAATATCTCCGGTCTTTCTCCGATTAAAACCATTTTTGTCGTTTCCCAAGGGTGATCTTTATACGTGCTTAGGGTCAACTCAACTTCCCGTTGAGTTCTGATGGTTTACGCTAAGTTTACATCTAGATTCTACGGTCAACTATCATTCACTCATAATTTTGAAGTGGCGTTGGAGTTATCCAGAGGAAGTACCATCGGTGGGTTGGACGATTCCAGCAACAAGGCGTTGTTCGCATTGATCATGTTCCAGTAGTTCAGGTATTCTGCATGTATACCAAGATGACGGAGTCTGAATGACGATGCACTGACTCCGCTACACTACTATGTGTTGCCTGCGTTGTTTCTAGCTGCGTCTTCAAATCTTGTTTCAGGTAAAAAGAAAGAAAAAGAGATGCAGGAGGCAATGGCTGCCAAAGAAGAAGAAGATAAGAAGCGTGAGTTGTCAAAACCGACGGTTGAGATACCGGCTACCCCCAAAGCTGATGCATGCATCGCCTTACGCAACTATCCGTCGATTATCGTTCAAAAGCGCCTTACCGATGACTACACACTGCAAACGGTTAGCCTGGATGTAAGTCCTGCGAACTATATTCTTTTGTGATTTTGCACCTTTATAGTCACGCTCTTACTCGCCTACTGAATATCAGGAGTGAGGTTTCGCTTCTATTTACATGTTGCTTTTTATGTTGATGTGCATTAACTTGGACACCTGCTAAAGTCACCAAATTGCTGTTGGTTGCGTACTCAGAATTGAAGACTACTTGTCTTTCTGTTAAGGATTACACCATAATGGCACTCTGTTTTGACGGTTGTACACACGAACCACAACAGCGGGTTCCACAAACCGGACTTCGCAAGTAGAATGATCTTTTAGGAAGTGGACGAATGCTGGTCGAATTCCGATGGATGCCATTAACACTTAGTGAAGGAGGATCTTGTGTTTAAAATTGTCGGTACTCTTGGAACGAGTAAGTGGACCTAGATCCAATACTGTTTAGTACCATGTTTCCTAGGAGAGGACAACCTTTCGGCACCATCGGGTGTTCACCGACCGCAGAATACGGGTCTGGGAAGTTTGTCAGCAGTAGCGCTCTGGAAGAATTGCGAACGCAAAACAAACCAGTCGGCCAAATGAAGACTGATTCAACATTCGAGACTGGGAATTAAGCGTTTGACTGTCTTGAAACAAAGTTAGATATCACAGCAATCCATCTTCCTGATCGAGATGATGAGCGTGATTCCACCCCGGGAGGATTTTTAAAGCGGCTTGCGATCACAAGACCGATTGAGAGAAGTGGCAACTGAGGAAGGAGCGAAAATGGGAACAGTCAGTCTCTTCTTTCACTTATCTGTAACACTGACACAAAACAAGCACCTCTCAGTGTATGACCACTCAGAACTCCTTTCCGATTCCCGCCATCTGCTTTGGCCATTTGATTGGCCTCGTGCTCGATTCAAGTGGGAGGTGGAATCACAAACAAAATTAAACTTTGGAAGCAAAACGAATTACTAGGTGTTGACTGACTTACTCCGCCTTGCTGCGGAACGACTCATTCTCCCCGCACGTGCACAGCACGGGAAAGAAATGCCAACGGAATCCCGAATATCTACTCTCGTTCCTGTTTACCTAAAGGGTGTCAGATTTGAGTGAGATAATAATCGGGGTTTCAGTTTAGTCACCATGACTTCCGAGTTGCTGACATCTGTCATCTTATGCAGGCTTACTGGAATTAGCCAGTGGTAGAGTTGTGAAAGTGAATCAGGATTCCCTCCGGGTCATGGATGCATTGATCACATCTTCACCTTACGACAAGTTATCGAATACCACTTAAGTATCTTTCTTGGTCTAAATGTTGCGTTCAACGCAGTCGGACTATGTCTCTCCTTCAAAGGCGTGTGGATATTTTCTTCACACTTCCCCAACATCAGTGAGCGTATGAAAGTCATCACCAAAGGTGATGTCCGTCTGGACTGCCGCTTGTCACCTTTCCTGTCCAACTTCATAATCGGATTATTCATTGAGGGAGCGTTTGCCATATCTTATACTTCTTGTATGGAACTTCTTCCAGGTTCGGATCCCATCGAGATAGAAAGTACGCTGAATAAGCTAGACTTTGTTGCCTGGTGTCTGGTATGCATTAAGCACCTTCCAAGTGCAAAGCGCTGTTACATGGCTGAGTGAGCGCACCACCAAAATTGGTCACGATGTCTGAAACGCTGATAATGGA